TTCCCCCCCCGGGACTTGCCTCCCGCGGCTTCTTTTCTTTCTTGGCCCGCCTTTACTTTTCCTTCCCTCCGGCGGCTTCCTTGGCCCGGGGCTTCCCTGGCCACCCGCTTCCCTTGCCACCGGCGGTTTGGAGCCGCCTCCCTCGGGAGCAGGTCGCCTCGATGCTCGCCAAGGGGGGGGGGGACCTCCCCTCCATCATGAGGGGATTTTTGCACGACACCGTGGAAGACACGGGCGGGACACTGGAGCTTGTCACCGAGGGATTCGGCCCCGAGGTGTTTGCGCTCGTTGACGGGGGGGAGCAGCCCCAGCCCCAGCCCTTTTTCCCTCACACCAACACCAGCAGCCCCCCCCGCCCCCATAGCCCACTGCACTCCCCATCCCAGGCCCGGCCGGAGGGGCCCTTCCTCCTCCCCTGGCCCCTCTTCCTCCCCACCCCTCTTCCTCCCCGCCCCTTCCCCCAGGGGTGACCAAGCTCTCGCGGCTCGAGCTCGCGCGCGAGATGCAGCCCGCGGTGCAGCCCGCCCTCCAGGCCTCGCCCGCCCTCAAGGCCTCGCCCGCCGACACAGCCGGCGGGCAGGAGCCCTCTCGCTCCGAGAAGCAAGCGGCCAACTTGCGCAAGCTCGTGCTGGCCATGTCGCAGGCAAAAGCCCCCCCCCCCGGTCCCCCCCCCCCCCCCCCCATGAACACTCCAGTGAGGGAGGGCGAGACGATCGAGGGGTCCCGTACCACGCGGAATCGACCCTCCCGTGCTCAAGTTCTCACGCTGCACGATTATTTCAGGCTAACTTCGGAATGTGGAAGCAGTATGGCTGTGCTGGCTCCTACACAGCCATCTTACCTAAGGATGGCTGAGCTAGCTGCACTGCAGCCATAGCCTCCAGGCCGATGGCTGCAATACACACAGGGCAGCCATCCTTGGTAGACATGGCTGGAGACGCACTACCGCAGCCATACCGCCCGCCTCGAGGTGAGCCCTCTTGGCTGAGTTGGCTACATCGCAGCCATCTTGGGTAAGATGGCTGGGCGACAGCCATTTCACCCATCTACTTATGGCTGGGCCACAGCCAGTGCAGCCATCTTCCAGAGCCATGGCTGGTGACACAATCGATGGCAGCCGTGGCGTCCGCCGCCCCCGCCACAACGCACAAATGGCTGCGCGCTTTTCTCCCCGGCCTCGCGGGACAGCTGCCATCGGCTGCCATCGAGTTATCACCAGCCATGGGGCTCTCTGGAGGATGGAAGCTGCAATCTCAGTGTCCCACCCAGCCATAGTACTTAGTAATGGCTGCCCTGTGCGTATTGCAGCCATCGGGCTGAAGGCTATGGCTGCACTGCAGCGAGCTCAGCTATCCTTAGGTAAGATGGCTGTGTGGGAGCGAGCACAGCCATACTGCTTCCACATTCCGAAAAAGCCATTATTTCAGGTCACTATCGGCCGCCACTTCCTGTTGTGAAAAGCCGCGTTGTGTGTGACAGCGTGAATACTCGAAGACGATTTGGTCCTGCACGATTTGGTCGCGGCAGCGCTCGAGCTCGCGGTGGACGCCTGTTCACGACAAGGCCGCTGTGAAGCGGCAACAAAACAAAAACAAATCCCCCTCAGCGTCGCAGCCTCGATGAGCCCCGCCTCGGAGAGAGAGAGAGAACGAAAGAAAACGACAACCCAAGGGAGGGATGGGAGACCTCTTGGAGCACTTAGGCGTCGCTTTTCTTCTTTTTCTAGCACGCGCCAGTTCGCACCTGTGTCGAGCCTGTGTGCTGTGAGAGAGAGTTGTTTTGTTTAAATTCTTTTTCGTGGGCCGGTGTGTGTGCCAGTCCGCGCCAGTCCGTATTCGTGCTGTGAGAAGCGTTCATCTTCGAAGGCCACAAATGGTCTGCACCGGCGCCCACGCCGCTCTTCTCTTCGCCGTGGCGTACCACCCACGCCTCAGCCACCCTGGCGGCATGCTGCGAGCGAGAGCGCCTGCTGTGTCACTGACGGCCGAACAGGAGGAGCAGCAGCGGTCTTGGCAGAGGGTTCAGAGGTCTGCTTCGGAGCGGTTTCTGCCGCGGCTGGACGTGCTCCGCTCCGGCGAGGCACCGGCACCGTGGCGGCTGCCTCCGGCGTACCGCGCGATGCTCGCGCAGCTGCTCGTCAACGCGGCGACGGGGGATGAGGGAGCCTTGGCGGCGCGGCGTGCGTGGGATGCGTTCGTCTTTGCTCTCCGGTACCACCGCCGCCAGTACCGCGCCTCGGGCGAGCCGTACGTAACGCATCCGCTCGAGGCGCGCAGCGGCAGCGCTCTCCCCCCCCCGGACCTGCCTCCCGCCGCCTCCTCTCCTCCCTCGCCCGCCTCTACCTCTCCCTCCCTCCCGCCGCCTCCCTCGCCCGCCGCCTCCCTCGCCACCCGCCTCCCTCGCCACCCGCCGTCTCGAGCCGCCTCCCTCGCGAGCAGGTCGCCTCGATGCTCGCCAAGGCGGAGGCGGACCTCCCCTCCATCATGACGGGACTTCTGCACGACACCGTCGAAGACACCGGCGCGACACTCGAGCTCGTCACCGAGCGATTCGGCCCCGAGGTGTCTGCGCTCGTCGACGGCGCGGAGCAGCCCCAGCCCCAGCCCTCTCTCCCTCACACCAACACCAGCAGCACCCCCCGCCCCCATAGCCCACTGCACTCCCCATCCCAGGCCCGGCCCGAGGCGCCCCTCCTCCTCCCCTCGCCCCTCCTCCTCCCCACCCCTCCTCCTCCCCGCCCCTTCCCCCAGGCGTGACCAAGCTCTCGCGGCTCGAGCTCGCGCGCGAGATGCAGCCCGGGGTGCAGCCCGCCCTCCA